TACTGTTGTCACTGACCCTACCTTTGAGTCCACCGCTGTGTCTTTTCTGGTCGCTGAGTTAGTTGACTTTGCTGCTGCCTGTCGTCTAGACTACGCCACTAGCCTCGTTGCTGAGTCTGAGTCTGTCTGTCCTCCGTCCGTCGGGGGTGAGTGTGCTCTTGGCACGGACGTCCTTGAGGACAGACAGGAGGAGTTCCAGTGCTTTGCTGCTGCTTTACCCCACCTCGTGTCCATGCTAGTTGCCCCTGAGGGAGACCCGGATGCACCAGACATCCCGACCCCGCGCACTTACGCTGAGGCGATGGCGGGTCCCTACTCCTCTCAGTGGCAGACAGCCATGGACGCAGAGATGGCTTCCTGGAAGTCCACACGCACCTACGTCGACGAGGTTCCCCCACCTGGGGCGAACATCGTCAGTGGCATGTGGATTTTCAGGGTGAAGCGGCCGCCGGGTTCTCCTCCTGTCTTCAAGGCGCGCTACGTGGCTCGAGGCTTCAGTTAGCGAGAGGGAGTTGACTTCTTTCAGACCTTCTCCCCCACCCCGAAGATGACCACTCTTCGGGTGCTGCTGCACATAGCTGCTCAGCGCGACTACGAGCTTCACTCACTTGACTTCAGCACTGCTTTCTTGCAGGGCAGCCTACACGAGGAGATCTGGCTGCGCCGCCCTCCTGGCTTCACTGGGTCGGTTCCTCCTGGTACCCAGTGGAGACTTCAGCGGCCGGTCTACGGTCTCCGCCAGGCACCGCGTGAGTGGCACGACACACTGAGGACGACACTTGCGGCTCTTGGGTTCGCTCCCTCTACTGCTGACCCGTCACTGTTTCTACGCACAGACACCTCACTACCGCCGTTCTACATCCTCGTGTACGTCGACGACTTGGTCTTTGCCACTGCTGACACCGCGACACTCGCCCACGTGAAGTCGGAGCTGCAGAGGAGACACACGTGCACAGACCTGGGTGAACTGACAAGCTATCTTGGCTTGCGGATCACCCGGGACAGAGCACGGCGCACCATCACCCTGACTCAGTCACACATGGTGCAGCAGATCCTTCAGCGCTTCCGCTTCACGTACTCCTCGCCTTAGTCCACTCCTCTGCCTACCGGTCACTCGCTCTCAGCTCTGCCTTCGGATGAGTCCGTAGAGCCGAGTGGCCCGTATCCAGAGCTTGTGGGCTGCCTCGTGTACCTGATGACCTGCACTCGACCTGACCTTGCATACCCTCTTAGCATCCTTGCACGCTTTGTTGCTCCTGGCCGTCACAGGAAGGAGCACATGGATGCCGCTAAGAGGGTGTTGCGCTACTTGTGCAGTACGTCGGGCATGGGGCTAGTGCTTGGAGGGCGAGACCGAGTTGTACTTACTGGACACTCAGACGCTTCTTGGGCGGACGACCAGGCTACTCAGCGGTCGTCTCAGGGTTACACCTTCAGCCTTGGCTCCGGCTCAGTTTCTTGGCGTTCTACACGCTCTTCTTCTGTTCTCAGCTCCAGTTGTGAGGCTGAGATCTACGCCACAGCCATGGCTGCCCAGGAGCTTCGCTGGCTGACCTACCTGCTGACCGACTTGGGAGAGCGGCCTCGTTCTCCTCCAGTGCTGTACGTCGACAACCAGGCTGCCATTGCCTTGTGTGAGGAGCACAGACTGGAGCACAGAACGAAGCACATCGCCCTTCGGTACTTCCTTGCTCGAGAGCTGCAGCAGCGTGGTCAGCTTTGTCGTTCATCTTGCACAAGCAGCAGTTGAAAGGGCATGAAACGGACAGCGACGTTACAACATGCTATGAGCTCTTGTTGAAGTTCGTCCGCGCGGTTGATGAGGAGCTGGAGTGGCGGATGCATGATCTCGCCAACCTGGAAGGGCCGAAGCTGTTCCGCATCGCCTCTTATCTCACGGACGACACCTAGCGCGTGGAGGCGTTCAAGCGCTGGCTGGGCAAACTGCACAAGCTCTACCGCGGGAAGCTGCCAGGTAAGTGCTGTTGTGTTGACTCGCTCTGCGTTTTGACAATTCGTGTTGTTTCATATCGTCACCCCATCAGCTGCCTGTCTTCGTCCTTTTCTGTTGGAATAATGCCCCCCTTCCACCCGGTGTCTATGACTTTAGCCCTGTTTATCCCCCACCCCATACATCAGGCTTTGACTTCAATTACATCTCGAGGGCCACACGACCCTCACTTTCGTCCTACAAATTTGCATCCAAACCACTACCGAGTCGCCCCCGCTCCAATCGCAACGCTTTCCGAGCCAACCTCGCCCGATCTCTTCGCCTAGCTAGCCTTTCCCCTATTTAGTCTCGACACTTTCTATCAAGAACTAAATTGTTGTTGTATTGATGTGGGTTGGAATACATATACCTAACCCTAACATTTGTACCCCATAAGACAAGCCTCACTACAGTCTACAACATTTGACACTGTCAGAAACTAACGAACAGGAATAGTTGCATTGAGCAAAAATGTGGGTACAAGTACTAACCCTAATTGGGTTGTACCCCACTACAGCCTACACAGCACAAACATGATTACAGTTTGACACACCCCCATAGGCAAAGTGGGGGAGAACCAGTGGTCACAAGACCAGTCAAGAAAAGCAAAGCAAGCTCAGGGTGGATCACGAAGTCACCACAAGCAAATGGTCACAAGGCCAGTTCACATGAAGAGTTGCCAACATTACCCAAATCGTAGACAGTCTTGAATAGTAGACAGGGGTTGTCTATTATCCGGGTGTCTCTTATAAACAGGCTAGCCTCATTATAAGACACCTATTTTTTATGTGTATGAGTTAAGACATTGTAAAGGTTAGGGCAATTGTATAACGAGGGGGTATCTTCTAAACGACTTTATATCCATTTATAAGACTTATAAGACACCCTAAACCTCCCCAAATACAATGTAACCCAAGCATTTTTTCTAGTGTATGAGATGAAAAATACATGTTTCTTTGTAGAAAACCGTACATTGATCACTAACTAGCAAGAGTAAGCATGCTGGTGTATATATAGAGCACAGTACACGCAAAGTCATGCAGTGAGCAGGTGAAACGAAGCAGGCACAAGGCCTAAAGCAGTACAGAAACGCTGATGATCACTAGCCAAAAACGCTGAGATCTACGTAGATCTCAACCTCACAATTGGAGGTGAGAACAAAAGAAGAGCTGGTAGACTGCCAAGAAACACAGCCAGGGCTGAACGTGTAACCTTGTGACGACCGCTGCGTAGTCAGGTCGTCAACCCAAGACGCGTCTGAGTGTCCAGTGAGGACAACTGGACCCCGTCCTCCAAGCACGAGCCCCATGCCCGATATACTGCACAAGTAACGCAGTACCCTATTCTCTTTCGGTGTCTACCAGAAGCCACGTAGCGTGCAAGAATGCCAAGAGGGTACGCAAGGTCAGGACGAGTGCAGGTCATCAGGTACATGAAGCAGCCCACAAGCTCTAAAAACGGGCCACTTGGCTCTACGGACTCGTCCGAAGGTGGAGCTGAGAGCGAGTGACCGGTAGCCAGAGGAGTGGACTGTGGCGAGGACCAAGTGAAGCCGAAGCGCTGAAGGACCTGGTGCACCATGTGTGACTGAGTCAGGGTGATGGTGCGCTGTGCTCTGTCCAGGGTGATCCGCAAGCCAAGATAGCTTGTCAGTTCACCCAGGTCTGTGCACGTCTGTCTCTTCTGCAGCTCTGACTTCACCAGGGCGAGAGCCTCAGTGTCAGCAGTGGCAAAACCAAGTAGTTGACGCACACGAGGATGTAGAGTGGCGGCAGCGAAGTGTCGGTGCGGAGAAACAGCGACGGGTCTGCAGTCGAAGGAGCAAACCCAAGCGCCGCAAGTGTCGTCCTCAGTGTGTCGTGCCACTCGCAATACGCCTGGCGGAGACCGTAGACTGGCCGTCGGAGGCTCCACTGGGTACCTGCAGGAAACGACTGAGTGAAGCCAGGTGGACGGCGCAGCCAGATCTCCTCGTGCAGGCTGCCCTGTAAGAAAGCTGTGCTGAAGTTAAGAGAGTGAAGCTCGTAGTCACGCTGAGCGGCAACGTGCAGCAGCACCGGAAGAGTGATCATCTTCGGGGTAGTGGAGAAGGTATGAAAAAATTCAACTCCCTGTTGCTTACTAAAGCCTCGTGCGACGTAACGAGCCTTGAAGACAGGCGGAGAACCCGGCGGCCGCTTCACCCTGAAAATCCACATGCCATCGATTATGCTTGCCCCAGGAGGGGGAACTACTTGTGGACTTCCAGGATGCCATTGCTGTGTCCGTGGCTATCTGCCAATGATAGTAGTAGGGACCCAAAATCGCCTCAGCGTAAGAGCGCGGGGTCGGGATGTCCAATGCATCATGTTCTGCCTCAGGTGCAACCAGCATGGCCACGAGATGAGGTACAGCAGCTGCAAGACACTCAAAGTCCTCCTGCCTGTCCTCAAGGACGTCCGTGCCAAGAACACACTCATCCCTGACAGACGGAGGACAATCAGACTCAGACTAAGCAACCAGACTAGCGGCGTAGTCGAGATAACAAGCAGCAGCAAAGTCAACAATCTCAGCGACTAAGGCAGATGCAGCAGTGGACTCAAACGAAGGGTCAGTGACAACAGTGGCTAGGAGACACGTGACAGTAGGGCTGGCAGCACGAACCAGGTCAGACTTAAAGCCAGGGTCTCACGTAAGCTAAGAGGCCGTCAACTGCAAAACAGTTGAAGCTAGGTTACCTAGGTTACCTAGTTTTTGGTTGGGTTGAAAAACAGGCTTGCGACTCACCCAGAAGCGATTGCACAACACTTCTGAGTACTTGAGACTTTCGATGAGTTGGGGGCATTTTAGGTTTGGCTCCGAGCCAAGTTCCCAAGCCTAGAAGGTTTGGGTACACCCAGCGATTTGAGATTGATTCGCACCCCTCGCTTCAACCCACTTCAAACTTTCTAGTTCGCTAACCAATCACAGCCAAACTTTTACCATCAACTGCAAAGCACTCGCAGTACTTAAGACCCTATCTTTAAGGCCCTTAACGTGCGGAAGAGAGGACGCAGGAGGAGACGGCAGGGGGACACGCTGTGGAACAGAGGAAGGACAAATTGTCAGGGACAGGAGGAGGACGCGGACGAGGAACACGGCTACCAGTGCGACCAGCGCGAACAGGCGAGGCAGGACGAGACGCAGGCTCACGACGCTCTCTAATCGAGTCTGCCTGCTCAGTGTAAGGAGAAGGAGCAGGTAGTGGGGAGCCTGGCTGTAACGGGAGGCCAGTAGAAGACGGGAGGCTAAGAACCTGACGAAGCACCGAGTCAGGCGGTGGCAGAGACGACGGTGACTGCGAAGCGAAGAACAATCGCGGCTGTGCAGCACTAGTACCACCAGCACCAGCACCTCTAGTATGAGTATCAGCAGCTCCAACTCCTCCAGCAGCTCCAAAACCTCCAGCTCCAGCGCCTCTAGCTCCAGCGCCTCCAGCTCCAGTAGCTCCAGTGCTAGCGCCAGTAGCTCCAGCGCCTCCAGCGCCGGCGCTTCCAGCTCCAGAGCCCGCAGCGCCACCAGCTCCGACAGCTCCAGCACCTCTAGTACGAGCACCTCCGGGACCAGCAGTGCCAGCACCACCAGCACCTCCAGCACCAGCAGCACCACCAGCTCCGGCAGCTCCAGTACCTCCCAAACTAGCACCTTCGAGACCAGCAGCTCTAGCTCCATGGTACCTCCAGCTCCAGCGTCTCCAGCCGCAGTGCCTCCAGCTCCAGCAGCGCCACTCCGAAGGCGGCAGCGCTGAGTGTACCACTCGTGCAGCTGCTGTGGGGAGAGAGGCTACACCTCTAGTACCTCCAGTACGAGCACCTCCGGGACTAGCAGTGCCAGCACCACCAGTACTGGCAGCACCACCAGCTCCGGCAGCTCCAGTACCTCCAGTACGAGCACCTCCAGGATTAACAACTCTAGCTCCTCCAGTACCTCCAGCACCTCTAGTAGTACCTCTCGCACCTCTAGGACTAGCAGCTCCAGGGCCTCCAGCTCCAGCAGCGCCACTCCGAAGGCGGCAGTGCTGAGTGTACCACTCGCGCAGCTGCTGTGATGAGCGAGGCTCACGTAGTGTAGAAGCAGTACCCCTAGGCTCAGCACCCCAGGACTCAGCACCTCCAGGCTCCGCACCCGCAGGCTCAGCACCCCCAGGCTCAACACCCCCAGGCTCCGCACCCCCAGGCTCAGTACCCCCAGGCTCAGCACCCCCAGGCTCCGCACACTCTCTCAGGCTCGGTCCCCTTAGGCTCAGAACCCCAAGGCTCAGTACCCCCAGGGTCCGCACCCACAGGCTCTGCATGTACAGGCTCAGCACCCCCAGTCTCCGCACCCACAGGTTCAGCACCCTCAGACACATCACCTCGAGCAGTACCACTCCTAACAGCACCTGAGTCACCAATGACCACGACAGGCTCAACCAAAGGGAGTGGGTCTACCTGAGACACACCTGAAGGAGCAGGACCCTAAAGGGGGAAGGGAGTCTACCGGAGGGGGACCTGGAGTGAGGAAGCGTGGCAGGGGGGGGAGAGGGGCAGTGCGGTAGGGGAAGAGATGGTAAAAGGGAACCGACTCGTCAAACGTGACGTCCTGAGAGGACAAGACACGGCGCGAGGTGGGGTGGTAAAACTGCCAACCAGGCGCGTCAGGGGGAAAGCCAAGGAAGGCACAGAGAATGGCGTGGGAGGAGAGCTTGTCCACAAAGGTATCGCGGACAAATGCACGAGCACCCCAGACCCGGAACACCGACGCATCGCCAACCTCCCCCGTCCAACGCAGTGTAGGCGAGGTCTCCGGCAAGGAGACACGGGGCTAGAGGTTGAGCTGATGTACAGCATACCGGACCACAAATGGCCACAGAAAATGGGGAGCAGGCGCATTGATCATGGAGGTACGAGCCACCTCCATGACTAGGCCAATGCGGCGCTCAGCTACCCCATTCTGCTGCGGGGAGGCCGGAAGCGTGAATGACAGGAGGATGCCCTTCCCATGACAGAAGTCCCACAAGAGGTCGGAGGAGAACACACCACCTCTGTTAGAGTGCAAACGCATGACAGGATGGTCCGTGCGGAACCGCTTACGGAGCTGGAGATGGCGAGCGCGGATCCAAGGGATCAAAACATCAGGGACCTCCCCCGTACTGTGCAAGGGGACGACCGTGGTGTAACGCGTGTTGTTGTCAACAACCAGCAGAATGTATTGCTCGCGGCCCTGTCCCTGGACGCGGGCTGGGCCCCACACGTCCATGTGGAGAGTCTGCAGAGGAGCCTCTGTGGGAAACAAAAAGGAGTAAGGAGCGGCGCGCTGCCGCCCCTCGACGCAAGGAACGCAGGGCGGGGCAGGCGAGCACGGGAGGGGGGGGCAGAGACCTGGGAAGGCCAGAGACAAGGAGGCGGGAGTGCATGCTACGGAGGCGTGGCAGGGAGGGGTGACCAAGACGGTGGTGCCAGAGGACAGTCTGGTGTGAGAGGTGGCGACACGAGCAGGGGGCTGCTACCTGACCTGACGCGGACACCTGACCAGACGCAGCTACCTGGGGAGGCTCAGTAGTCAGTGTGTACAGGCTCGACCCAGGCCGACGGGTGAACGTGGCCAGGTGACGGCCCGCTCGTGCACACATGCACATCGCCACACGCTGTCCTCTAGGGGTAAAGGTATAAACCCAAGCATTCTGAAGGATGGCGTTACTAACCAATTTTGTAGAGAACGAGGGGAGGTGAAGACCTGTCAGTGAGCCAGACGGAACCGCCGGACACGGAAGAACAGTGGAGGAACGTGCCTTCAATGACTGGGCCCCCTGCGGGGTCAGCCAGAGAGACTGCAACAGGTGCAGGGAGTGGTGTGACTGTGGTACTGTCGTGAAAGAAACAGCGGGAAGCACCTGAGTCAAGCATGAAGGTGTGCAAGGCCTCAGCAGGCGCAGTACCAGAAAGAGCAGACTCACTAGCACCTAGAGCAGCAGCCTCTATACCAGGGTCGGGCGGCACACACAGGTAACAGTCACCCTTAGTACTACCAGTCAGAGCATACATAGCAATAAGGATAGTGTTATAGTCTAGAGCAAAGATGTCCACCTTGTTGCGCAGCAGCTCTAGCCAGGGGGGGAGCTCAGCCTCATCGCCAAACACTGCACGCCAGGCATTACTCAGACAGACGAAGCAGCGAGCCTGTGTTTCACCAAGTTTTCCGCAAGTTTTAATAGCCCGATCACCTGTTCGAATCACATACGGGCAGCGGGCAGTACTCCTAGACCCCCCATTCTGAGCGTACCACTCACGAAGCTGCTGGCGCGAAAGGTTTTCTCGTGGACGCCGCTGCAGCTGCATCTAACCACCGCCAGAAACTCCGCAATGAACATCTACACCGCGACTGCCACTACGGCTGCCGCCACCACACCACCTGGCGTACCACTCACGAAGCTGCTGGCGCGTAAGGGTCTCGCTCGGACGCCGCTGTAGCTGCATCTGGCCACCGCCAGAAACTCCGCACTGAACAGCTCCACCGCGACTGCCACTACGGCCGTTACCACCACTCCCACTGCAGCCACCACCGCCGCCACCGCTCCCACTGCTATCATGAAGAGAAGTTATTGTAGGCCAAGTAAGGAGGCGTGCGACCACCAGGGCAGCACTTAGTGAGGGTAGGACTCCGAGTAGGCCCTAGGGTAGAGCGTAGGGTAGGGCGTGCGGCACACGATCACGGAAGGGCGGCGCGCAGCCATAGTAGGGTGGTGCACTCACGAAAAGGCAGCGCGCGGGCAGGCAGTGACAGCGGGCGACCAGCAGGGCGGTGCACGGGCTGCAGCGGAAAAAAAAAAGGGTCCTACGGACCTACTGCTTTGAAACCAGATGAGAAGAGTGCGCGATAGTGAATGCAAGAGTGGGTACAAATGCTAACCCTAATTTGGGTTGTACCCCTTATGGGGTACCCCTTTTACAGCTTGCAAAGCACAAGCATCATCATAGTTTGACACTAGTCCGTCATTTCGACCTTACCGAATGAACTGAATTGAACATATGTAGACGATGCTCACCTTGTCCTGGTAAATTTGCTCATCACAATTAGATGATGCTCACCTGGTGACGTGCGGACGTTTTTCCCCGTGAGTGATTAGATTGACCATTGTGCAAATTTTTAGGTACAGTTACGAAGTTGAGGAAGCCAACATTTACAGTTCATATACAGCAAAGGCGGTCAGTTGTATGCGTCATCACTTTACTGCTCGAAAAGACATGAGCAAAGGTTGACGAATCGATGAAATTTGTTTCAGTCCGATACTACCCGACTATTTGGTGTGACTGTACCGGACATCATGTGTGTCTTTTGCGAAACGCATGGAGTACCTGCACGATGCACACCTATAGATAGCTATCATCGGTGTTTGAAACCCTACGTTTTGCATTGTCGTGCGGATTGCTTTTGTGCTCTTTAGGTGTATTAATGCTCTAGTATCTCCACCACTAACATGCCCGTTTTTTTGTTGATTGTAAATGTACTAGCAAAATACATAGGCACATCCACGGTCATAAATGTATTAAGACGTATTATTCTTAACCCATTTTAACACGAGTTCAATTGGAGAGAAAGAGATTGGGGGAGTTTTGGTGTACCGCTTTCCAGGTCACGACACGGAATCGCTTTCTTTGTTTACACGACACGTTACTGTACAGTACCACTTTCCTGCTCTCACGGAGCCGCAAGCTTTCATTTCCCATCGGCCAATACACATGATGCCTGTTTGAGTCACGCCACCTTTTGGGGCGGCAGTAAACTGTAACGAGCACGTGCATTTTGACAGCTCGCCAGGTTTCGCCACGGGAAAATGTGGGACTGTAATGAACACAGTAGTTACATCTCCAAAATATCTGGAAAGTTTGGGATGGCATTGCTTTGGTGTGTCTGGGCAGTTGTAAATCTGTAGATGTCCTTTTCTGTTTTACCGCGCAAAATGGGACTGTACCTGATGGGCCGTTGCCTGTGCCCGAATGCAGAAAGGATATGGCACAATCTGGCACGGGCAAATTCACGGGATTGACCGAGCATCGACTGTATCAAATGCATGCAACTTGTTTGTCGTGAACAAGCCGGCAAGCAGCTCTTTCATAGGTGGTGGTGGTGGCTGGGCACTGGGCAGCATTTCGTTTGGCGGTGGTGTGGGTGGGAAGGACACGCTGATATTGGCTGTACTGTACAAAACGACTGCCCAACTTGGTTCTGCCTGCTGCTGACTTTGTAACTACAGTACAGAGGTGCACTGTGTGCCCACAGGTGAACTGCCCGTTCGGTCCCCACACACCGACAGAAGCACAATCACGACTGCCATGCCAGCTGTTGTCTTTGTCGCCGAGTAGGTGTCTTTTTACGGTGGGGCTGTGTGTTCGGATGTACGGATGGCCAACCTTGTCGCAGGAATTTGCTTCTCTGTTCAGTGACTGTCCGATTTGTCTATTCTCCGATAATTTCATCCTTCGTACACTTGCTTTTGGACACCCGTAAGGGTTTTTTTTGTGGTGAGAAGGGCACCCTCACATTACGTGGCTATCAATAAACAACCAGCATGTCCTGGCCGTAATCTGAGAGAGTTTAAGAATCACCACTGACACTCTTGTTTTCTCCATAATCTCGTGAAGGAATGAAAATTTTGAGGTTTATACACGTGGATGAATGTGGTGAAGATTACTGTCTTGTTTCCATTCCTGTCTGAGGCACGGATGGGTGGAAAGTGCCCGCTACTGGCACTGTAGTCCCCTTCGAAGCGCAGGGTCGCTAGTAGTACCCCTGCCAAATCTACTTTCCCTATTTCTAGTCTGTCACGTCGGGAATCATGGGCTCGTCATGTCACTTTCGCGCACGCTATTTCTCTTGGCCTCCTTCCAGCCACTGCAGCTCGCCTGCCGCTCAGGCTGCGCGACCGGCGCACGCTCGGCTTTACCAGGCCCCCCCAAGGCACTGATTGCCGCTCTGCTCGGTCGGGTCGACGAGAAATGAGTGGCCCCAATCAAATGAACGATCCCATGCGAGATGCGCGAGACGTGCAAATTTTGCGGGAAGGCACAGTCGTTGGGCGTTTCCGAAGTCGCTGTTGACTCGGCACATCTTGTGGACAGTCGTTGGGCGTGTCCGACCGAACATATGTCACTGGATGTCGCTGAATGTCGGTGCATGTCAACCCTCGGATCGAGGATTCTGACCGTCAGGATTCAACGGTTGACGTTTCACTTCGGACAGGATCCATTGATTTCCTCGCGATGTGGTTGGATGTACCGCTATGGCGCGTTGTTTCCTGCCACCTGATTCGACGATGATCGTCCAGCACCCCACAACCACCGCTCGTCACTCGTACCACCCACATTCCAGCAGCAACCAGAGTCTCGTTGCTCGCAACATTCCCCCAGCACTTCCCTCTTGCTCACCAACACGCTTTTCAGAAGCCCCCAGATTTCATCCCCCTGATGACTGCAACACAACGGCCCGTCCCAGGGAGAAGTCACATTCGGAGACTGCTGACGCTTTGCTGAGTTGAAAGGATTCCTCGAGTACGCCCAGCCAGTGTCTCTCGCCGCCGCGTCTGCGGTTCTCGTCGCCGTGATCAACGGCCCGTTTCAGATCCGGAGAGATGACTGCGCGTTACTCAGATTAGCCTAATCTGAGCGGCTGCTTGTGACTCCTCGGGAGTGGGCCACTCGCGATTGCACTGCCGTCAGTCGCTCCAGATCTGCCGTCCGAGCCAGCACATTGGCTACCGCGTTTCAGTGGATAACGCGGGGACACCGTTACTACTACTACGCACACACGTTCCTGTGTCTGGGTCCTGTTTCGCTCGCGATCCGTCAGACATCCTTTTTCTGTCAGGAATAGTAGTGGTAGCGGCGTCACTCCCCGTGTTAGCAGACTGAACCGCAGGCGTTCGAGTCGCTGTTTAGCCTGCTTGGGATTCCCTGAGGTGCAGTTTAAGGAGGCGGTGACCTGCTAAGGAACAGCCTAAGTGGGGAGTCAGCTAACCTATTAAGTGGGGGAGTCAGTCGCGGCTCATTCGTCGTTGTCCATCCCAGAATTCCTTGTGAGATGCTGACGAATACTAACCAGGAGGAGGACCAGCCCGCGGGCTGCGGTCGCCGCTGTATGAATACCTGCTGCACCATTGGTACGTCCCCACCTCCCGACCCGATCCACCCTGGTTAAATGTCGCCGCTCACTGAATGCCTGCTTTGCTACTAATCGAGTTCGATTTCACCTCCCGATACCAC